CAGAGATCCACCTGGCTCTGCCTCCCGAGTGATGGGATTAAAGGAGTGTGCCACCACCGCCCGGCCAATGATGTGTGTTTTAATTATGTAAAGATAGTTGTAGTTGTTTCACCTTGCCTGCCTAAGGCACCTGATTGATCTAATAAAAAGCTGAACGGTCAATAGCTAGGCAGGGAGGGATAGGAGAGGCTGGCAGGCAGAGAGAATAAATAGGAGGAGAAATCTAGGCTAGAGAAAAGAGGAAGGAAGAGTGAGAGAGAAGAAGGAGGAGAGAATGGGGGACATGCCTGGGGCAAGAAACCAGGCAAACACCACCCAGCCAGACACAGAAAAGCAGTGAAAGTAGGATGTACAGAAGTGAGAGAAGTAATAAGCTCCAGGGCAAAAGGTAAAGAGAAACAGGCTAATTTAAGTTAAAAGAACTAGCCAGAAACGTGCCTAAGCTAGGCTGAGCATTTATAACTAATAAGTCTCTGTGTCGTGATTTGGGAGCTGGCTGATGGCCTAAAAGAAAAAGTCTGGTTCAATCACACAAACATTTTCTTGACGTGAGAATGCTTCAGATTACAACCACCAATTTTCTAGTAATCCAGATGGTTAATGACTACAGTTGCCATGTTGTACACAAGACCTCTTGATGGCGTTTCTTTTGTCTTGCTGGAATGCTGCATCTGGTGCTCAACATCTCCCCAGAGAGAGACTTGTTAACAGGAGTGTGGCCTGGATTCACACAGGACTAGGGTCATCTGCTCTCACTTACAAGATGTTACAAGATGAACAGAGCTGGAGTGGCGGCCAACTGACTATGTTCCCAGAAACCCAGAATTTTATCCAGTTAAATCACTCAGGCATGGGACTTTCAGAGGCAGCCAACTCCACATGGGCTTATATTCATCCCTTCACAATTCCAAGTTACCAGCAATTCTTTTTGGGTGTAGAAAACAAAATCTCCTGCAGGTCACATGTTATAGTTTCTGTGGGGACAAGAATAGCCCCTACCTATCTCTAGTGAGAACCTGGGCCCATGAGTGTCCCTGACATCAGTTGGACTGTACCAGGTCACTCTCTGTGATGCTGAGGTATGACAATGTCACAGGTGTAAGGAGGCCTGGAACCAGGGCACTAATGCTGCAGCCTCTTAGCTTTCTGTCTTTTTGTCTCCCAAGCAGTAGTGACCTGTAGGGACTGCTCAAGACTCGCTAGCCATCATTGTTATTAAACATTCTTGAAGGATATTTCATGCTGGTATGGCATAGGCTGAGGAACCCTCACTGCTCCTGCTCAAAGCCATTGCTAAGGCCATGGTCTTGATATCAGCAGCCCCACCAAGTATTGCATAAATTGGACTGTCTTTCTGGAGACTTGCGCCCTGCACACTCTGCCTTCTGCTGGTCATGTGTGGGCCCCATGCGGCTTAAATTTGCTGTGCTGTCTCTTCTTTTCTCAACGGACTTGTTACTGGGTGGGATGGTCTCTGCTCCAACTTCCCATTTTGGCCCTTGCCATGGTTCAGGAGTACTGTATCCTACACCACTGCCCCTTTGTAAATATCTCTGTCCCAGGAACATTCTGTGAGCCTCTGTGCTGGCTGATACTGATTTGCCTCTCATGGAGGGAAAGTCCTGTTTGAAACAGAACTATAAAAGTTGCTTGGCACAGAATGGTAAACCTGCACCCAGAAACAGGAGCAACCCTACCATAAAGACCAAGGCCAAGTCCTGTGGACCACTCCTTTGAAATGTCCTGTCCTCAGACCTGGGAGGACCTGGCTCCCTCTGATCCCCTCCACCCTCAGGCAGGGTGCTGGATAGGCAGATCTCAGCCTCGGGGCTTCAGCTATGAGGAGGGTTATATTCCAGACATGGAGACTGCTTTTCTTCACAAATCAGGAGATGTGTGCTTTGTATTTTAGGGCAGAAGTAAGGTGGTCAAAGACCATGTGAACAACTGTAATCTTTATTCTGCCGGGCTTCTGTGTCGGCGTCCCCGACACGCCCATCATCCCCAGCACTTACTAAAAACAGCTCACAGCAGCAAATCCCTCCTCTGTTTCCAAGATGTCCATGTGTGCTTCTCCCAGAAGTGTCACTTACAAGGACCTGAATACCCTTCATCTGAAATGCCCTCATCAGGGAGAACATGACCTCTCTCAACCTCTGGGAGAGCAAAGACCTAACTCTCATCATGGACCACCAACAACACAGTCAGCCTCATTTCATCCACACTGACCATTTGTGTGTGTGGTTCTGGGCATAAAACCCAGGCTTGTGCACACTTGGCAATCACCTGCCACTGACAGCACCCCAGATCTTGTTTAGTGAGACAGGGTCTCAGTGTGTAGTCCAGGCTGGCCGTGCAGTCTCTGTCTTCTGACTCTGTCTCCTGAGTGCTGGGATTATAGGCATGTACCACATGTGGCTTAACCAACTCTATCTTATAGTCCTGAACTTCCCTTTCCCTAATTTAACTTGAGCCCCTGATCACACCCCACACCCCTCTTGACTCCCTTATTCTCTCTCTCTCTCTCTCTCTCTCTCTCTCTCTCTCTCTCTCTCTCTCTCTCTCTCTCTCTCTCTCTTTCTCTCTCTCTCTCAAATGTTCTGTCCCCACTGCAAGATCTGATTGGAGTTCAGAGCCTTCTCTCGAGAAGTTGATAAGTGAAACACATTTTGTAGCTTTAATGCCCAGTTTTGTATATCTCCTTTAATTGTGTGTGTATGTGTGCACATGCATGCCATAGTGAACGTGTGAGGATCAGAGGACAACTCGCAGGACTTGGTTCTCCTTCCATTGTGTAGCTCTGGGGATCAAATTCCGGTCGTCAGACTTGACAACGGGCACCTTACTCGCTAACTGACCTCACAGGCCGAGTTCTGTGTGGTTTGGATGAAGCCTCACTGCCCCTGCATAGCCCCACCTCGAGCATGGAAGGAAAGCCCCTCGATAGCACATAATTCTTGGCAAAGGGGTGGGAGACCTAATCTTACCAGAGGGTGAGGAGACAAGTACTCTCAGCCCTCCCCTCTCCTTGCCCTACTGTGTTAGGGTCTCTGGCTAAGATGGGGCCTGGATTCCCTTTAGTGTGTGGCTATCTAGCTTCGATAAATTCTCTGCTTGAAGCCCCATGGCTCTCTCTAAGCTCACACACAGCTAGAGGCCAGAGGGAGCCCATGATCACGAATGCTCTGAGATGACTTTGAGAAGGTCTTTCCATAACTACTTGCTTTGAACGGGTTGTCCTGTGCCTGACACTATGTTCCCCACCCTGAACCCCTGTAAAAGTAAGTGCGTGGATCCAGACCTCCATCTCCACAGCTCACTAATCTCCGTGTGCATGGTTTGGGTGTGTTGTATACCGTGGGTACCCATAGTAGCGACATCCTTTTTTCCATGGCTGTCCTCTAACCACAGCAGGGCATTCTCTGTCTCCACAGTTATGAATGAAGCCGATGGCTGCACAGAAAAAGCAAACTAGACAGGATAAAGCCACAGGCTAAGGAGCTGCCAGGCCCAGGCAGGCCAAAGGATGCCTAGGGAGCATCTCTCCATGTCTCCATCCTCCAGTAACAGAGAGGCTGCAGCCAGGGAGCTCAGTGACTTCCAATCACAGACACACACATCTGGCAGCATCCAAAGGAATGCCATCAAACCAGCACCAAGAAGCACAGAGTCCAGACAACAAACAGCTTGGAGAAGGGAGCAGCTATTTGCAGAGAAGCCCCCCATTCCCCGACCCCGGGGCCAAAGAGGACTCCAGGTACCCCAGACCGGAAGCCCTGACAGCGGAATGCAGCAGGCTGAGCCTGGTGGGATCAGTGGGAGGAGGTGAAGGAATGGTCCCCTACACCCAGGGCTCACACACATGGGCCTGGCATGTTTGTTACCCAGAGGTGCCTTCCATCTGCAGCTCCCTTTTATCACTCTACTCCCAGCTCCAGAAGGCCCACAGGCCCTTCCCTGCCAGCTGTCTTGAGTTTCTCACCTCCTCACCCACTCTCAGCCCCCAGCAGCCTGATGTTGCCGGCCAGCAAAGCTCCCAGCTGGCTTTGATTTCTTGGGGTGGAGGGCACTGGGGGCATGTGATACCCTGGGCCATTCTCGCCCCTTCTGCCCTCTTCCTCTGGGTTATTTGGTTCCCCTCTTGCCTCTGGACCCTCCAAGCACTCTCCCACCCATCGAGCTTTGTGGATTGAGCAGCTATGGCCTCTCTGTCACTCCAACATGTGGACAGTCATTGTGACTACCCAGCCCTCTGTGTAAGGCAGTCTAATAAACCGCCTTCTCTCTCTCTCTCTCTCTCTCTCTCTCTCTCTCTCTC